CAAGTTAAACCTTTTAAGGTATATGAACAAAATGACCTCTTATAAAGCAGTATTCCTGCTTAAGGCAGTTTAAATAAGTTACAATGTATGAAGCAATAACTTGAATATAGTTAATCTTTCTAGAATCCATTCATTGAAAAAAAAAAAGTCATAATTTAACTTTTAACTGAGATCTCTTCATATCAGCCGTTGAGAATGCAGAAAATTCAAATTAGTATTTTTTTAAAAGAACTTTTCCCCTTACAATTCATGTGATGCATACAGGGGAGATTTTTGTTTTGGAACGTGGGTAGAAACTGAGTATCATCTGGATCTACACAGGTAAACTCTAGAATATCTCCACTTTTAGCAAGAAAAGCTTTTCTTCCTAAAACAAAATGAAGCCATATTCCTTTTCAGTAGCCCCCAGTTGTAACCGTGCTTTAGTCCTTGCTCTTGAATGTCACAGGTGTTGGCTGTGCTGCAAACATCTGAATTTCTTTCTAGCCTCTTTAATTCAGTTGTAAATATGTTAAATGTTTCTTCTGAATCTACTCCAATTCCTGTATAGTTAAGGACAGCTGTTTTGTTAATGCCATTTGTCTCAGAGTATCTAAAGTTGCCCCTGCTGTAGAAACAAAAATCTAGGCTGATTTCATAGCTCTCCATTCTTTCACCTCACAGGGCTACGTTTAGGCTCTGTATTGGGGGAAAAAAAAAGTGAAGCTGACAAGAGCCAAGATAGAGATCAGTGAAGTGAGTGGCATGGAGAGGGTAGCAAAGGAATAGATTCCTCAGCTTTCTTTTCTTGATAGAAGAACTGAAGGGAATCTTGGAAGTGGTAGGTAGGTTTGAAACAAATGGCAGTTCTCTTTAACCAGCTGTAAAACTCCTTGCTGCAGGACACTGTATAGAACTACATGGATTTAAAAGCTGACTGAAAAATTCCTGAAAGGAAAGTCATTGCCCTGTTCTCTCTGAAAGTCACTGAACCAGAGCCTGAGAAAGCTGCTCTGACTGACTGCATGCTTCTCCTTTTCTTTACCTGATTGCAAGCACCAGTGCTCATCCCTGGTAGGCAGGTAGCCAAGAGTGTTCTCCTGCTGTAAGGCTTTCTTTCCAGAATCAGGGGGAGTGAGTTGCTTGCTCAGTCTGTGTGAAGACTGTGCAAGAACTATCTGACTTCATGCACCAGTTGAAGAACACAGAACAAACCACCCGTCTTCCTAGGGCATGGATGCTGACGCAGAAGTAATTAATTGAAAATGCTTCTAAAACAAATGATGGAAAATACTGTTTTGTTCTTTGTAGTTAAAAATTCTGAAAGCCAACTATATCTTCCTTGGAAAGGTGAGGAGGGTGCATTTGGGTATAGGGGATTCTAATTTAAACTACTTGTTTCATCACCTGGTCTTATGCAAACTGGAACACTAAGGCATGTCTGTATTAGTGTTGTGACCAGCACCATCCATTAAGTTTGTAAATCAGAAGAGCTCTCCAAGTAACTCTGGTAAGACTTTTTTTGTGTGCGCGCGCACTCCTATTATATATATATATATATTTAAAATATAGGTGGGTGGGTGTACATATGTATATACACACACACCGTTCAGTTTTCATTTTACCAGAATGGGTTTTTACATACTTGAAAAGAACTTGAAAGCTTATTGAAAGAACTGCAAATCAAACTTAAAGCATGGATGCATTCTCTGACAGAAAAAAGTAAGTACACTTATTAATTCAATAATGGGGTTTCAATTAGGAGCCTGTGTCTGAAATGTAACAGAAAAGTCCCTTACCTGTATGTGACAACAGAAGTGCCCTGCAACTATTAGAAGAGAGATAGAAGACACCCAGTGCTGTTCATGAACCTCTGCAAATGACTGCTTATACTTTCTGATGTAATTGTTCAAAGAGGAAATACTTTGCTAGGGTTTACAAGCAGGAAGAAACTATCCACTAAAAAAAAATAAAAATCTGTGCCCTGCTCCTAATGGTCAGAACAGTTTGTTTACGTACCTGGTCAACTGCAATAAACTGCTGCGTAACTTCAGTTTCTGGTTTGTAAAATACTGTTTTCTATTTGTAAAGCCAAGATATTTTCTGTATTTCTGATAGGAAGCTTCACACCATTAAAAGCACTTACCATTCAGCTACCAGTTTCTTTATTGTGGTTGTCGCACACTGACATTAAATGGATCAGGTCAACGTGTACCTTCCATCAAGCTAGGGTTACTCTTCTGCAGTCTTGTCTGTACATCCATACAGTTTACAAGGCAAAGCTTGTTAGATTTATGGCCATCTAGTAAAAGCTGATTAGATTTTCCTGGTTCTTAGTATATTAACATTTTCAGGGTAAAAAGTGCAGGTTTCTGTCTTGACAATTCCCTATGGCTTAATGTAGAGAACAGTGTTAGTTGGGATTGAGATTTTTTATTTTCAAAGCCAAATTCCTGTATCAGAATTTCAACAACTGGTTGAAAGAAAGAAACATTCCTGACTCCAGGTAAGCGTAACTTGAGACAAAGTGGTTCAGAGGGACTGGCCTGGTGACATATTCTGATCTGTTTAAGCAGATAAAACTTCAACAACATCTGAGATAACCAAAATCTTAAAAGGGAAGTAGCAAAATCACAGTGGCTGACTTGCTGCAAGATGTACTAAGCCAAGCATGAGGAAAAACCTCAGTGACTAAGGAAAAAGTAATTTTAAAGTTTTCCTTTGCTTACAATACACCCTTGCATCTGTGATGTGCTGCTATAATGTGTGTATTTTGGTATCTGGAAGGTCCTTTTCTAGATCTCCCTTTTCAATTGGAGAACCAGCAATTTCTGATTTGAGATATGTGTAAATTTGAGGTCTGACTTCAAGATGCTAATGAGTACTGGATTTCTCTACTTTTGAAAGAAGAAATACAACTTCATTTCAGCATACCTTGTAGCAGAGATGGGAGAGCACCAAACTTTCTCTTGGAAGCACTCAGCTGCCTGCATTCTTGGACGAGATGAAAAATAAGAATAACTTGCCAGAAGATAGCGGTATGGATAAAGAAACAGTTTAATTTTATCTTTTTTTTTTTTACAATATAATTCAAAGACAGTCTCAGTTTCCCTATAATGTAGAGTCTAAATTAAACCTGTTAATATTTATTAGACAAATAAATGGTTTGCTTAGGCTAACTGAAGTTTTATGGTACCATTCAGGCACATGTGTGTACACAGTACTCATGTAAACAATAGCGAGGGAAAATAGAAGCAGTGTTTCACTTAGGCCTTATATAAAATCAGCTTAGTATAGCCAGTCAACTCTACAGTGCAAATCTCAATGAGAATAAACAGGATTAAAAATTCCCGAGTTTTGTTTTGAAGTGAAACTCTTTAAAGCATAAGAGGAAGAGGTTTAAAATTCTAATGCAGTCCTGAGTACCACATAATTTTCTTCAGTTTTGTAGAGGAAATGTAGTTAGCAACACCGGTTCCACATTTTTTGCCTGTCTCAGTCACCACTGCCATTAGAAGCATGCAGAGTGACTGCACAGAAGAACCATACCATGGATGGTCCTACAGCAGACTGTAACAGAACTAAATACGTTTTACTACCTCCAAAATGCAGTCCTCCTACCTGCAGCACAAACTTCAAGATACCTATCAAAATCAAGTAACCTGGTCTATACAAGGCAAGTTACAGCTAAGTGTATAGACAGTAACTAAAGCTACTATCACTCGGACAACATCTCATGCAATTACCCTGCTGACAATGAAATACAATGATAAACATGAGACACAAAGAGCTGCTGAAGTACTTAAGCTTAATCTCTCTATTTTCTCATTGTTTAAATTCCCTTTACATCCAGGTGGTACAGTTGCTTGAGGTGTGCTTGATTCATATAAAGAAAAATAGACTTTAAGGCATGTTTAGTATATTATGAAAAGAGGCTTATTAAAAATAGGTGGACTCCCTTCTTTCCAAGTAAGTATAATGTAGAAAACAAAGTATAGATTACAGAAACTAGCTGAGTTAGCCCAGTCTGACCTGCTTGAAGAAATAAAAAGAGGGCCCCTGGCAACCTCAAAGAGAGAACCAGCTAACTTGTTAAACAGCTAAGCAAAATTCATTTAATATAGGAACACTGCTAATGCTTTTAGACCCTGCGTTCATGTATGCTTAGCAGTATGTCTGCTATATTCATCTCTAAAACATTTATTCTATCATTCTAGACATAACACCATTAAGCAGCACTCATGGAAATTGTCAGTTATTGCAAATCTGCAAACACGAAATAAACATTTGATAGGGAATAGAAGGATGAATCTAAATCTTTCTGATAAAGAAGATAATTCAGGTGAATGAAGAAAAACAAATTAACATACATTGAAAACATGATTAACTCTTGCAAAGAATAAGGTTCAATATTTCAGATAATTAGAATGTTTTTACTAGGAATACAAGCAAAGACCGTGCTTAGTGTGTTATGTAGTGTAATATTAATATCTGAGGTATAATCTGTAAGCAGTTGCCATAAATATGTACAGGTATAAGCCATTGATTTTTCTGCCACAGTTACTCTTTAGAGAAGCCGTGGACTGGAGAGCAGCAGAAGTCTGCCTTAACAGGACAGAACCTGTCTGCTGCTGTGCACAAGCCTCCACTGTTAACAAAACAAGTCCAGAAAGTACATTAGATGTGTATCAAGAATATATATGTTCAATAGCATAGTGAAATTGTCCTTTTGCTATTACTGATACTATAGATCCTATTAGTATTTGGATATACACAGAGGAATATGCACATCGAAAAGTAAATCTTAAAAGCTATCTTAAAAAAATAAGAGCTAAATTATGAATAAGCTACATTGCAAGAAGCTTCCTGCAGAATTATATATTTAAGATGATAATCTTTGAACTAAGACTTAATATAGCTACTGCATTAAAAATGGCTTGCTGAGAAATCTTAATCTCACTTTTTTCCCACCCAATCAGACACATCTTCAGGATTGTGATTCAATGATTGTTTAGCAGCAATTTTAGAGAACTGTAAATTATTTTATTAACAGGCATTATAAACAGATACTACTTTTATTTAAAAACCATGAGTGCCACACTGATGAATATACAGCTCATGAATAACTTAAAATATTTCCCATATTAAAAGGCGATGCACACAGCATACAAAAAGTATACCAACCAAAGCTATGAGGATAGGAGATGGAAGTGTCTAAAATAATATATACAGTACATAATTAATGTTTTGTTCGTAGTCACTACAGGCGTCTGTACTGCCATTCCCATCATGCCTCACTCTCCCCTGACACTGAATTTTGCACTTCCTCTTCCAAAATTGGTACAATCAGGTTATCCTTGGACATCAGATTATACTTCATCACAAATTTAGTGAATCGGTGACACAAGAAAGTTTCATTCTGGAGATGAAAAAAAAAGGGGGAAAAGCCAATATATACAGCAGGAAAATTTTAAACAATAGAGAAGAACGTACTAGAAAAACACTGCTTATATATATCCAATTGCCTCATTACATTTACGGGTCTTAAGAAATGGTAGTAATGATTAAATGGTAAATTTATATTACTTTTAAATCTTTCCTTTACTGCTTGATTATAGTTACTGCAATTAACAACAACCCAAACTCTACTGAAGTTGAGGCTGAAGTCACAGCTCCATTCAACAGCACTTAGACACGATCATATTGAAATAGCAACACAGTCCTGATCCACTCTAGGAACAAGAGTTTTAAGGTACTGTGACATTTACGCTGTCCCCAGTAGAACTGGGTACAACCATTCCATAGCTCTCCCAGCAACCTTCAGTGGGATTTGGCAAAGGTTTCCTTTGACATCCAGCTACATCCCTGTTCTACCTATTCATTTCTACTTTTCCATTAAAAAAAAGCAGTTACTGGAGGTGCACAGGCTGCCACCAGTTACTGTTTCCTTGCAGTTTTACAATTGCAGTTCTTAACTGCTGCGTAACATACACAAACAGGAAACATAAATGCATAAGCATATTAACTGTATGAAGTGCAGGAGTACATTCAGGAATCTCCAACAAGATGAATGAGGTTTTTTGTACAAAAAGACTATCAAATTCTGACCTTTTATCCAAATGAAGGGGAACCACAACTGGGTGAACTACTGATATAAACTTTCATTTATACACATGTATGTACAAAGTAGCATTTCAGTTCTTACAAAACTGTAAGCTACTATAATCAATACTTCACTTGAATGCAGATGTTCTGGTAGGATTAAAAGAAAACATGTAATATAATTACATCACAGCTGTAACTTCAGTAAATGCCCTTTTTTTCAAGATGTAATTTGAAGCTACTTACTTCATATTCATCAAATATCTGCCGGTGATGAAAATAAGCATGTGAAAATATTCTGTAAATCCTCCGGCACACTGATCCTAATTTGGCTACTGAGGATTCCTTTATGCTAACCCTGTAAGTACCAGGAGAAAGGTTAAAACAGGTCTACCAAAATGACTACAGAGAGACATGTTTATACTATATAATTGCATGTGAAATTTAGACATAAGTGTTGCAGGTACTCGTGTCCGCAATTGCTTATTTTTGCAGGGAAGATAAAGATGTTGGTGCATACTCCACATTTAAAAATTGTAGTCCAACTACAGAAACAGTTTTGCCTGTAGTTAAACATCATCGACCACTCTGACAATGGCTGAATTTCTGCTTTCTAGCACTGATGGACAAAGGAAAAAAGCGATGCAGTTATCCCTCCTTGCCAATATGAGATTCTTAGAGAAGCACAGTTTTGACTTCTCCAGTTGGGTTTCCATGATCCAGCGTGCAGGCTGTCCCACAGTAGATTGGTGTTGGCTTTTGGAGGCTTTCAGTGGCAAAGTGTTTAAGTCCTTTGAGTCGCCGCATCTCTCTAAAGGCCATCCTCTTATTCAGGTTGGCACTATTCCAATGGAAGCCACATAACACCAACAGATAGCAGTTAAACTTAAAGTGGGATTATTTTTTTTTCACTTAAAAAGCACCTGTCAGCTCGAGTAAATGTAAACTATTTGAATAGGTAGGAATTCTTCCTTGGCTATAATAATAGCTCTACCAACAAGTGACATGTGCTGCAGGATTTCTGATATTTTCAGTAATATTTTCAAGTCCACGAAAAACATGTTCTGCATTTCCACATGTTTTTTAAGTATTTAGGTACCACCTGCTCCCTCCCTCTCTCCCTCCTCCCCCAGAAAAGCATTTTTACCTGCTGGGGAAATATTTATTGCTATTCAGGAGACATGCAGCTCCATCAAGTGTGTGTCTGGTGTAGTCTATAGCAGGACACTATAAAGACAGACAGTGAGCATGTGTATGAGTACTTGCATAACATTGTAATACAACTTGTTTAAAGAAAAACATTTTGTTTTCTGATGCTTTTAACTTCATTGGTCATTTTTATTCCCAGAAGTTTCACATAGCTCCTCTGAAGGTCTAACTACATTTCCTTCTTAACTGAGCTATTTCTCTGTTTCACAACCCATGTAAATTATTTCAAGAAAAAAGTTACTATGGAAATGTGATTATGCACAAATGGTACATTTTATGCATCTCCTTAAGTACAGCTGTGTAATAAGAACACTTACTGGAAGTATAATGAAAGCAAAGACGATCATTACCTTGCAGTTTGTTTGTTTCCCACATAGTCAAGTTTCCAGACGCTTTCTTTTACAGCCTGAATTAACACCTTGTCAAAAAAATGCAACACCCCAAAAGAGCCCCAAACCCACACCCAAGCAGACCGATGCTTTTTACCTTGGCAAAGGAAACCAAAATCATCAGTGTAGCTATGTGTATACCAAGCCAAGCCCTGGCTCTGCAATTAAGTACATGTAGAGGAGAAGGAAGGAAGTAAAGATGAACTGAGACAGGGTGAAAGCAGTAATGTCCGTTCACTTTGCCATTCCCCACTTTCAGGAAGACAACTTCTCAGTTACACATTTTTGTCAGCAGTTCAAGGCTGCATCACCCACTATCTGACCATTAGTTAATAGCTATTATCGACATGGAAAACAGTAGATGAATTATGTGCATTCAGAGATAAAAAGCAGTCTGAAGTTCTCTGGTCTAGCTGAACAAAACAGACTTACTGCATGCCACTATAATGAGCAGCGATGAGGGTTAGAGGAGGGAGTGGGAAAGAAGTTGGCCTTCAAAGCTAAATCAAGGCATCTCAGGAAATAAAAAAAAACAAACAGCTTACGAGACAAAAAGGATAAGGTTAAGAAAAAACAGTAGCTTATTCTGAAAGGTGAAATACAAAGATAAATCTGACAGGCTGCACTATCGCCATAACCAATACCAACAGAGAAATACCTTCTGAAGGCAAATATAAAAAGATGGATCAAGTGGTTCAGTAGGAGATCTGAACAAAGTTCATAAAGTAATTGGACACTCTGGTAGACAAGCTACTGCCATGCTGATAACCCACCTGACAAAGTATTTTTATGACTTCGCTACCTTTTAGGGGTAACTTTGTATGAATGTGCACATGTGGTCACTCTCATGGTGTCAGATATACACGCCTAGTGCTATGCATCAAGGCCAAAGTTGGATGAGAACAGCTTACAAGCCTATACTCTTTTTTTTCAGTTGAACAAAGACCTTTTTCACTGAGTTTCAGGCTGTCTCAACACAAATTAAGAGAGAAAAGAGAGGAATGTGCTAAGTCTCTCATGCTGTGGTAAAAAGCAGCTCCTTCCTACCTCATCCCTTTCTTCTGTAAACCACTACAGAATGAAACCTCAGGTGATATTCTTAACCCACATAAGCTCTTGGTTTGACTAAGAAGCCAGCTGTAATGGTCTCTCCATGAACCTATGAACTGGGAAAGAAAATCCGACATCAACAGCACCAGTTTTCCAAAACACATCCATACCTCTTTGGGAGTTTTATGAGCTGCACAAAGAAAAATCCATTGTTCAGTTGCTGTCATCTGAGTACATGTGTCTGGGTGACATTCACTCTGTTAAAACAATTGTTCAGTCATGAAAACCACCCAACAGCAAAAATGAGCTGATCTTTTCAAATCACTTTCTTGCCCTGACCCCCACTGAAAAGACTTACTTGCCACAAGTCTTTAAAACCCTAAAAAAGTCTTACCTCAAACCACTGCTTAAGTCTATGTGTATAAATTTAGAAGAGATCTCTGCAAACTCTGCATCTCACAATACAAAAAGTCTCCCCTTGATACAATACAAAAATACCAAGAAAATAATTACCTGAAGCTTGACAGCTAGTCCATTGAGCTCAAGGCAGAATTGTCTAAAAAAAATTTGAACACAGCAGCAAGATCAGCAACTTGTTTTCTCACTAGAAACATCTAATATAAAACAAGTTTATACCTTCTGATCTTCACAGATCACTTAACCTTTTTGGAAATTACTCTCTTAAAGTGAAAAAATACATCAGAACATGAAAAAAATCACACTTAAGGAGTATCACCAAATAATTTCAGCTGATGTCACACCTAAAAGTCAATAGGCTAAGAATTAACACACTATAAAAGGAATACAAGTTGACAGAAATAGAGTTCACACCAGCGAGTCTTTTTTTTTACCCCACAAAACAATTCTATTTTTTAAATTCTTACCTCACAGCAGAGGCTCAGCATAACAAATAATTTAGTGGAAGTGTTTAAGATACCAACTTTGTTATGGATCAAAGTGCTATTTCACAAATACAGAATAAAAAAAAAACAAAAACAAACAAAAAAAAAACCACAAAACACTTCAAGAAAATTTCTTAAGAGTGTAAGTTTTAAATTCATACAGCAGGATCATTCTATAGCTTCCAGATCAATTAAGTGGCTAAAGTCCCACCACAGATCACTAACACAGTGAAACTTCTAGAAATACTGCTCTCACTAGAATGAAGATGAAAGTGCATTCTCTAAGAGAATTCACCCCCTCTATCCCACAAGAATAATCTGAATTTTCCAAAAGTGACAGGTATTTAGTGACAAGTCACTTCTATGAATCTACAATGATTTTCAGAGTATATGAAAGAACAGAGGAAATCCTTAAAATGTGTCTTTTGCAATTGTATGGATACACTTTTTCCTCTTTTGATTCCCTGCATCTACTGGAACTATCCCAGACCAGAGGAAAGAAGAAAACAGGAGACAAAAAGTCAGGATGTATAAATCTGGAAGTAGCTTAGAACTATTCTTATTCCTTAATGATTTGATGTCAGAAGACACACTTAAAAAAAAAAAACAACCACGCAAAGATACTAAAGTTATACAAGGAAAAAAGGATTAATACATATGCATTAACGAGGTGTAAACCTACACTACAATTGAAGCATACTTTCAGGCACAAACTAACTAGGCTGAATGTATTTTTTTTTCAAACTGGATAAAACAAAATAAGAGATGGACAAAATGTTTTGGGCTTCCTTACAACTAGAAAAAGAACTGTAAGACACAGGTACTCTTGCTTGCCCAGCTAAAGCCTGTTTTCCTGCAAGTTCCAGAAAAAGCACGGAGAGCATCTGGAGGGATGGAAATCACATTCCCAATTAGTGGAGATGAAGAACCGATGATGCTAGGAGAAAGCGCTATGGAAATTCATTGCTGTATTTTCATATTCAAAACATGCAGTACAACTTTTGAAGTGAGGTACAAACATGTCCTTAAAAAACATCAAAACCACTAGATAAGAGCACATCATAAATCTTTAGAAAGAACAAGGAACTCAGAAAATAATTAATGCCAGGGTATAAAAATATTTCATAGCAGAAATATCAAGTCTCATTTAAGTTACTTTTGATCTGCCCTATGCAAAAAGACCCACTACCACTGTCAGTGAACAAAACTTGGGATTGGGACACTATGTTGACAAAAGATGGATTTTTACCTTAAATGTTCATACTTCCATACACCTTCATCCTGGCCTTCAGGAGGTTCAAGGATCTTATCAATGTTGGAACAGTCTGCCCTTATATTTTGCTGAATATACTAGGAGGAGAGGAAAAATAAATCTAGATCTTGTTGTAAATCTAGTAAGACAGTATATTTAGAACATTATATCTTTGAGGGACTTACTTTTTCTCTTTACTTAAAATGTGATTGATGGACTAAAAAGCTGAAGAGTAGATGGGCAGGATAAGAAAACTGGTATAAAAAAATGCCAGATCTGAAAAATGCCTTTCCTCAATTGGAAAAGGTAAAAGAATGGGTAAATTGTACAGCTTTTTTTACAACATCCTTCTCAAAGGAAAAGAACGCTGCAGGAAACCCCCCAGTTTTCTTTAAACCAGACATGGGAATTCTGGTTACTTCTGCATACACAATTAATAATTACAATTTTTTAAATATACATAGAGTTTATGAAATTCATTCCCGTGTAGCAACATTGTAAGCAATGTTCCCTTGTTTGTTTTTTACCAAGATATAAAACTTAGAAAACTGAACTTATTAAAAACATTCCAACATAAGTAAGAATACCTGCCGAACAGCTAATGTACTATCCATCTCTTCAAAGGATTCATCAGGCCAATTGTAGAAATCCTGTTAAAAAAAAAAAGTTTAAACCAGTTGAATAAAAATAGGAGGAAGAAAAGCACACAGCCCATAATAAGCTTGAACATGCAGGAAAATAGATGTAGAGGCAGTTTACACAATTCCAGGAAGCTACATCTTAACAGAAGCGGCACACAGTCTTCACAAGAACAGGGCGGCATGGGACGTATGCTCCCAATATCACAATAGGAGAACATCTTGAAATGTAAGCTCTGTGTGACTCCGCATACTATGAACACCATCTCTCCTCCACATCTTGCTGTAGCAACTATATAGCCTTTATATTTTAAATTAAATATTCATATAAAGTGCCCATTTTACACATTAGAGCGTGTAACAACCAGGAAGAAAAGAGATCAGTAAAGAGTGGCATTATACAATTATTATTAAACTGAAAATCCCAGTATATTCTAGTAATAACACACTACTGAAAACACCTTCTGTAAACTGAGATAACAAATTGCAGTGTTGGCCTGACTCAGTCCTACATTCTTTGGTCAGCATGCTGCATAACTGGATGCTTATCAGCTCTGCTAACCTGCCATGTTTAGTATTGTTAATAATAAACCCTCCTGCAGTTTCATCTCAGGTACAGCTGTACTGCAGTGTTCTGCAGCAATTCACCTCTGATGCAACTATGATAGTCCCAGGCTCATGCATTTTCTTACATTGCACTTTTCACATCCAAAATTTGGTGTTACTCCCTCTTACTATCCAGATATTTGCATCAGCCTCCCCTAGCCATCCTAGTAGACACAGCGACTCAATGAAAGTGTTCCAGCTGTAAAGCGTAGCAATCTGTTCTTGAGAGAATACAGGCACCTCTAGAGAAATGAGTGAATAACCAGTGTTGAAATATCATGAAGTAATTGTATTTACATACTGAATAGCTGTATCACCATGTCATCCAAAATTAAAGTCACCAAAAAAATCAAATTATTGCATCACTATACCCAAAATTCGTCAACCTACATGAACTTAATAGTATCCTTTATAATATTTGACAAAATTTAGGTCTATGTCCACCTTACTTTTTTTCCGAATAGCCCAAGTTTACCAAACATAGGACACACAACGTTCCATTTCCTTCACAGATTAAACACGTACAGAATGACATTATTTACAGGATTGTGTAATAATCTTACCTCTGTACATTATGACAAAGAATAGGAGGAAAAAAGACATGCAATTTTCTACAACACTGTGTCATACACTGGTCTGCTTCTGACCATGAGCTCTCCTCACAAAAGCAGAGTGGAAAAATCTTGCATGAAGGCCTCACAAAAGATTACATCTCTGAAATAAATCTAAAAAATGTACCTTACATGTTTGAGATGAGCCTGAAAGCCAGGAAATAAATGTATTTCACTTTGTTCACGAGAAACGATCTGACAACAGCCCGGGCTGACTGAGGAGCAGGTTACGTAAGGGAAGGATGACTGATCCCTCCGGATGAACAGGCCAGCTATCGCCTGTCCCACGATGCAGAACTCCCGAACCACGTCTACCTGAATGATCACGCAGTGATCTCCCTCGGCTGGTTATCCATTTAGCATTTCAAGAGCAACAACAGTAATACATTGACAAGTATCAGAAAAACAGCCCTGTGTCTGAAGAAATGCTAAGCTCCGGGAAGCAGCGCTTTGCCTCTGCCGATACCCAGCGATTTCACAAGCAGTCAACGACGCTATCGACATCCC